TCGAAGCTTAAAACTTCTTTTCTTTTTGTGTCCCTATGCTTTTATCTCCTTCCACTTTTTTAGAACCCTTTTTTTATTTTTCATAGACGGATGATGAAATGTCCCACTCTTCAACTTCTTCTCTTAAAAAAAACTTAAACACAAACGAGTGTTCTAGAAAATTATAGCTGTTTCGTTTGAGTGTTGTACATGTTATTGATGACGTGGTATAATTAAAAAAAAATAACAAATGTGTAGACCCAAATGTCATTTGTATAAAGCATAGAAATATGTTTATATTCCGGTGGGTTTTGTGTTTAACATCTCTATTAGTATATCAATAATTAAGAAAACGGAAGACATAGTTTTACCCGCCAAAGGACGAATATACATTTAGAAAAAAATAAAAGATAGAAAAAAAAAACTAACGCATGTATAATTTCTGAGAACCAGTTTATTGCAGAATGATTGGTTCTTTCCAAGTCTGTAATCTTATTATATTTTATATGCATACGCTGTCTTTTTTCATATATTTTTTTGTTTTTTTTTGTTATTGTTTTTATTTCTTAGCAAAATGTCCAGCGTGAAATATTCCATAAGTATTTAAGCAGTGATCATTTATATTTTTGGGGTTTGTCTCAATATGCATTACTCGATTCTTAATTTCTTTAAAAAAAAAGTTTCAGAAAGGAAGTTAAAAAAGTTTGATTCCAGTAAACAAATATTTTTTAACAAAGTTTGTTCTCAGAGAATAAAAACCTGACTCACACAAAAGCTAAATATAAACATATTTGGTAGCGTCAAAAATTTGTCTCTGAAACAGACTCACTAGAGAAAGAAATAAAATTCCATATATTTAGTGCGTCCGGAGAACTTTCTATAGATTTACCTTCTTTAATAGACTACTACAAATGTTTGTTCAATGGTTTTTGTCAAAATTACGTTTTCAGTACTAGTAGAATGAATACAAAAATGCGTTTGGAAGCTTAAAACTTCTTTTCTTTTTGTTTCCCTATGCTTTTATCTCCTTCCCCTTATTTTAAAACTTTTTTTTTATAGACGGGTGAAGAAATGTCCCACTCTTCAACTTCTCTTGAAAAAGAATTTAAACACAAACGAGTGTTCTACAAAATTATAGATGTTTCTTTTGAGTGTTGTACATGTAATTGATGACTTGATGATTGAAAAAATAACAAATGTCTAGACCTAAATGTCATTTGTATTAAGCAAAGAAATATGTTTATATTCCGGTGAGTTTTGTGTTTATCATCTCTATTAGTATATTAATAATTAAGAAAACGGAAGACATAGTTTTACTCGACAAAGGACGAATATACATTAAGAAAAAACATAAATGTTTAGTAGAAAAAATAAACTGACGCATGTATAATTTCTGAGAACGTGTTTTTTGCAGAATGATTGGGTCTTTCCAGGTCTGTATTCTAATTATATTATATAGGCATACGCTGTCTTTTATCATATATTTTTTTTGTTTTGTTTCTGTTATTGTTTTAATTTCATAGCAAAATGTCCAGCATGAAATATTCCATAAGTATTTAAGCAGTGATCATTTATATTTTTGGGGTTTGTCTCAATATGCATTACTCGATTCTTAATTTCTTTAAAAAAAAAGTTTCAGAAAGGAAGTTAAAACAATTTGATTCCAGTAAACAAATATTTTTTAACAAAGTTTGTTCTCAGAGAAAAAAAAACCTGGCTCACACAAAAGCTAAATAAGAACATATTTGGTAGCGTCAAAAATTTGTCTCTGAAACAGACTCACTAGAGAAAGAAATAATATTTCATATATTTAGTGCGGCGTTCGGAGAACTTTCTATAGATTTACCTTCTTTAATAGACTACTACATATGTTTGTTCAATGGTTTTTGTCAAAGTTACGTTTTCAGTACTAGTAGTATGAATACCAAAATGCGTTTCGAAGCTTAAAACTTCTTTTCTTTTTGTGTCCCTATGCTTTTATCTCCTTCCACTTTTTTAGAACCCTTTTTTTATTTTTCATAGACGGATGATGAAATGTCCCACTCTTCAACTTCTTCTCTTAAAAAAAAACTTAAACACAAACGAGTGTTCTAGAAAATTATAGCTGTTTCGTTTGAGTGTTGTACATGTTATTGATGACGTGGTATAATTAAAAAAAAATAACAAATGTGTAGACCCAAATGTCATTTGTATAAAGCATAGAAATATGTTTATATTCCGGTGGGTTTTGTGTTTAACATCTCTATTAGTATATCAATAATTAAGAAAACGGAAGACATAGTTTTACCCGCCAAAGGACGAATATACATTTAGAAAAAAATAAAAGGTAGAAAAAATAAACTAACGCATGTATAATTTCTGAGAACCAGTTTATTGCAGAATGATTGGTTCTTTCCAAGTCTGTAATCTTATTATATTTTATATGCATACGCTGTCTTTTTTCATATATTTTTTTGGTTTTTTTTGTTATTGTTTTTATTTCTTAGCAAAATGTCCAGCGTGAAATATTCCATAAGTATTTAAGCAGTGATCATTTATATTTTTGGGGTTTGTCTCAATATGCATTACTCGATTCTTAATTTCTTTAAAAAAAAAGTTTCAGAAAGGAAGTTAAAAAAGTTTGATTCCAGTAAACAAATATTTTTTAACAAAGTTTGTTCTCAGAGAATAAAAACCTGACTCACACAAAAGCTAAATATAAACATATTTGGTAGCGTCAAAAATTTGTCTCTGAAACAGACTCACTAGAGAAAGAAATAAAATTCCATATATTTAGTGCGTCCGGAGAACTTTCTATAGATTTACCTTCTTTAATAGACTACTACAAATGTTTGTTCAATGGTTTTTGTCAAAATTACGTTTTCAGTACTAGTAGAATGAATACAAAAATGCGTTTGGAAGCTTAAAACTTCTTTTCTTTTTGTTTCCCTATGCTTTTATCTCCTTCCCCTTATTTTAAAACTTTTTTTTTTTATAGACGGGTGAAGAAATGTCCCACTCTTCAACTTCTCTTGAAAAAGAATTTAAACACAAACGAGTGTTCTACAAAATTATAGATGTTTCTTTTGAGTGTTGTACATGTAATTGATGACTTGATGATTGAAAAAATAACAAATGTCTAGACCTAAATGTCATTTGTATTAAGCATAGAAATATGTTTATATTGCGGTGAATTTTGTGTTTAAAATCTCTATTAGTATATTAATGATTAAGAAAACGGAAAAAATATGTTTATCCCCCAAAGGACGAATATATATTTAGGAAAAAAATAAATGGTATAAAATAAACTGACGCATGTAAAATTTCTGAGAACTTGTTTATTGCAGAATGATTTGGTCTTTCCAGGTCGGTAATCTTATTATATTTTATATGCATAAGCTGTCTTTTATCATTCATTTGTTTTTTGTTTTGTCAAAGCAAATGTCCATTGTGAAATATTCCATAAGTGATCAATTATCTTTTTTGGGGTTTGTCCCTCTATGTATTACTTGATTCTTAATTTCTTTGAAAAAAATGGTTCCAGAATGGAAATTAGAAAAAAAGTTTGGATCCAGTAAAAAATATTTTAATCAAATTCGAAAATCAATGTTAGTGTATGTTCTTTGTAGTTTTTTCTGTGTGTGTGTTGGTGTGTGTGTGTGTGTATATATGTGTGTGCGTGATTTGGTTTTGTATTCATATCAAATCAATAAACAGTTCGAGTAAAAATATATTTTAGACATATTTTGAACGATTTAAGGTAACCATAATAATTATTATTATAATAAGAAAAATAATTATTATCTATTACAACGCATTTAAGTATTCAATTAAATTCTTACCGACACGTATAACATCGAAATTAAGTAACTATTCAATCGAAGTTAAATATCAGTTGTAGTATACTATCTTCTGCAACTCACACTTAAACAACAAAACTTTCTATAGACTGGCAGTTTTTTTTAACAAAGCTCTTACGATTTCGAGCCTTTATTGGTCGTTTAGCCATTTGTTAGTTAAAAATATAAAATCATGAGAAAGAAGGACTACGTAAACATTCTAGTTAATTTTTTTTCGGGAGTCAAATTTATAAAAGTTTTTCCAAATTTGTTTCCAAATCAATTTTATTTAAAATTGTACTACATCATTGTTATAATTTTTCATTAAAAAATACTGTTTAAACGAATCTAGTTAATTAGTGACTTTGCATGGCAAATTTTAAACGCAGTGTATAATTACTTCGCCAGATGTCCGAAGTAATGTCCAAAAATGGCAATCGGCAAACTTCAGCAGATTCCGCTACCCTACAGATCTGCCAAGGTGAACCGAATGCAACAATGGCTGTTTTTATTAATATTTTTTTTTTCAAAGCACCAACTGATCTTCCTGACAGTATTACTTGGTATACTCCTTCAAAAGACATTTTTTGTAAGCGGACAAAGTTTCATCTCGCGTGGTCCAGATCAAGCAACCCGACAACTTGTGCTTTTAAATGAAAATGAAGAAACTGGGAACGGACAAAATGAGGGAGGTAAACAATATTACGAAAAGCATCGTTAATAACGACCGAAAGTCAAAATAAAACCCATGAAAAAAGGCAAAGAGAAAATGAAAAACAGCGATTTACAAAACACTACACCGACGTTATAGAAAGTGATTATGTTCAAACACGACAAACTTTTAAACGATATTCTGATTCTATTTGAATCAGTTATTAAAAAAAACATTGAAAGTTTGAAGCCGCCTTTATTTAGTTGGGGTATGCATATGATGAAATAGGGCATATTGAAAATAGCATACATTTTATGTCAATAGATTGGTTGGTTTAACTTATCATCGTTTCAATAAATTAACTATTGAAAAGTAAACGCTATCAAAGACATTTTTTAACGCATTTTAAACAAATATCACAATACAAATGTTTTTCAAAATTCAACTGAACAAGTGAAAAGTCAAATATTTCAACTACGAAGAATCGGCAATGAATTAAAATGTAAAATGAACAATACTTTCATCTATCTATTTATTGTATGCTTAGGTTTTTCTGGTATTCTTGGACTTTTGGTTTTACTGTCTATAGTTCCATCGTTGTTTACCATTATGTCTTCTCCAAGTAAGTGAATACCAGGGATGTAACAACACTATGTGCTACTCTCTGTTCTGATAACTTTTATATCACCCGATGAAATGTTTGCCTCCAAATTTTAAAATGTGCGTATTATTGCAACAAAACCTAAAATCCCGAAAAGTCTTTAGAACAGAAAGAAGAATGGAGCGTTTTCAGATCCCTGTACGCTAAGCATGGATACATGATCAGCATTTTAATGAGATAGGAAACAAATAAATGGCAAAAAATAAGGGGACACTCGGAAAAAACAAACAGGGTCAAAATTAAAAGCAATACAATGAGAACAATCGAAATCTAAAGTTTTATATTATACTACACCGTTGATAAGGAAGAAAAAAGACAAACAGTACAAACAAGTTCACAAAACACCACAGAAAACAACAGACTGGGCAGCTTGAACCCGGAAGAAAAAAAATGATCCCTTCCCCCCCAAAAAAAAATGGAGGAAAAACAGTTGTTTCTGTTCCATTAGTGACACCCAATATTGATTACTTTATTTTTTTACTATTAGTTATAAGTATTTGATACTTACATATTTACTAGGTGAAGATCTGCACTTTTCAAAAAATGATTTTCTTTAGGTAAACACGTATTTTTTACTTTCATGTTGGTATTCATAGTTTTTCATTGTACACATTCTATCCCTATTTACAATATTTGATAATCTTTAACATTGTTGTAACTGATTGTATGTGTCTATCCTCATACAGCATTTGAAAATAACATGACATGCAAATAAATAAAGACCGATGTTCGAAATTCATAAATCGATTGAGAAAAAAACAAATCCGGGATACAAACTAAAACTGAGGGAAACACCTCAAATATAAGAGGAGAACTACGACACAACAGAAACACAACATTAAAATGTAACACACACAGAAACGAACTATAATATAACAATGGCCATTTTCCTGACTTGGTACAGGACATTTTAAGAAAAAAACGAAAACGCAATCAGCAGCGTGTGTGTGAAACTGAAACCAAAACACATACAAAACAATTCGTAAAAATAAAGAATTCTTATAAATAAAGTCTCAACCAATTCCAAATAATAAATCTTGTTCAATCTTTCTGTTCGTATTCCTAATGTTTAATACAGTAATATTTCTAAAAGAAAGAAAATTGTATTTCAATAGTAATTTTGAACAAAATATATTGACAGATTAATTTGATTTCAGTTACAACAGGTACAGTTTGTCCATCAGTAACGTGCCCAACTGGTTATTCCAAGCTTGATGACCAACGAATCAGTCCTAACTGTTATTCATTTGGTGGAAGAAACATTGCAAGGACTTGGCATTCTGCTGATGTATAAGAATTATGTTTCTGTTGATACTTTTTAGGGGGTATTTTTGTGAGGAGGGGGTCGATGACCAAGAGGTCTACATAAACGAATTACAAGGATCAATAGCACGTCAACGCCGTTTTTGTGGTTTTCTAACATCATTCATTATAAACTGTATATCCGATCCTCATTTACAAAGATTGTCACTTTTCCTTGCCGAAGCTTGGTGATTTTTCTCCGGGTTACCACGACTTTCTCCACCAATACATTGATTGATTGATTTGTGTTAAACGCCACTTTTAGCACTATTGTGCTATTTCGTGCCGCTCAGTTTTAATTGGTGGAGGAATCCGGAGTACCCGGATCGAAACACGTGCGTGTTTCGAACTCACAACCTCTGTGTTGTCAGGCTAGTGATACAGTAGTTGGACTACTTAGACCACTCGACCACCAAGGCCCCTACAAAATAGCCGTCATAATGTAATCAAGGTCGCTGAAAGTAGCGTTTAACACATATTTAACACTCTGATAATAAAACCAAAATGATATATTTGCATGCTCAAACTATTTTTTTTTTAATTTTTAAGTTAACAATATGAATTAGACAGTGTGTGACAAATTACAAATTACATAACACAAACATCAACAAATTTTATAACAGTATGTGTTAAAACAATATGTCTACCAAGACGCTTTAGTCCTCATTTCCATTTGCCGTTATAAAAAAGAACCTAGACTTTCTACCAGTTGAAATGTTTGTTGATATTATTTATTAATTTTTGCTTGCAAATCGATCAGCGTCAAAAAAACTTCCTGCAAATCCGGGACGGGAAGTGAAGTGAACCAATACAGAGGTATGTTGAGGATGCAGTGATTGCCAGTGATGTCTACCAGAGACCATGTGGAGGTAACCAACATTAGGTCACCGTACGGTCCAACTATGAGCAAACCTATAACGTATAATAAGCTATGAAAGGCCCTGATCAATGTAAATCAAACGAGAGAAGGTATAAGGTATATTTTAGTCTGTTACGCTTTGAATGAGTTGAATTGACTTCTTTTTAAATTTCAGGCCGTATGTACCAGTACTAATGGAGCTCATCTCTTAGTACCTGATAGTCAAGATGAGATGGAAGCTCTCAGAAAGAAATTTGGCATCGGTAAGTGTGTCTTAATTTTCTTTCTAATAAAAGTGAGGCTCTAGTAAAGGGAGGTTAGTAAAAATCAGTTTAATATATTAACTTTTATACATTTTGTAAATCTTTTATGAATAATTTAGGTAACCATCTGAGCAGGCTAAGGCACTGACCATTTATCTTTCTGAAAAGATTTGAAATTTACTTAAAAAACCATGCCGCCCATCCCCGGTACATTCTCTGTACCGATGTAATGCATTGACTGTATGAAAATAATGATGTACCAAAAGATAATTGGTAGATGCATATACATGTATGTCCAGTGTCAGTAACCTGCGCTGAGGACTTATATGTAGGTATTCATCGTTACACAAGGCCATGAAATTTTCAATCAAGCTACGAACGTGTACTATCTATGACATCTTCCGCCTCTTTTTTAACGTCTACTTTTCCTTTAAAATTAAAGCAGCGACGATGTGATTATCAACGGTTATTTGTGGCAAGCTGTTTTACTATTTATTCGAACTTCAAGATATCTCATAAAATATATAAGATATCTTATATAATATACAAGATATCTCATATAATATATAAGATAACTCATATAACATATAAGATATCTCATATAGTTTATAAGATATCTCATATAGTTTATAAGATATCTCATATAATTTATAAGATATCTTATAGCGAAAATTATATGAGATATCTTATACTATATAAGATATCTAATATAGTTTATAAGATATCTCATATAATTTATAAGATATCTCATATAATTTATAAGATATCTTATAACGAAAATTATATGAGATATCTTATACTATATAAGATATCTTATAAACTATATGAAATATCTTATAAGTTTATTAGATATATTGAAGTTAGAATGAATAGTAAAACTGCTTGCCATAGTTCACACGTGTTGCATGAAAGCACAAGGCTCTGAAATAACAATTGGCTCTGAAATAACCATGGTTTCTGAAATAACACTGGGCTTTGGAAAAATAGGTGGCTCTGACATAGTCCTTTACTTGGTTAAATTGATTTTGAAGTTAAAACCGACGCAGAGTATATAATCAGATACAAAACAAAAAAGAGCCAGGCTACATATTTTATCAATGGATCTTAAATAAAGGATTCCCTTAGGAACAATCATACAGACACAAGAACACAGTTATTTTGTAGCGCATTTCTTTTAGACTAAGAAACGAAAATTTAAAAAAGTCCACCTGCTCTAGTATCCATGTGATCCAAAAATATTTTTAGTGTAGTGTACTATTTTGGTCCAAATTATATCAAAATCATAGAAAATACAATAGACAAGTGCTAACTCAAAATATGGACAATTTCATGTTAAGGGGGTCTGTAATTCAGTTTGACAGCTTCAGACATACTTTTTTTAACCTTTTCAATTTGAAAGTTTTACACTGTCCAATTTGGACTCTTTTTTTATGCAAGGTAAATCAAAGGACGAGAACTGTGTCCCTGGACCTAATACAAATTTCATTTAATTCTGGCCATTACTTAATAGATTATTTTTTTTAAATTGTTAGCAAACGACAGATGACAGATGCAAACTTAGTAATAGCAACAGCTCACATGGCCAAAAAGGGTTGATATACAATTAGGTTAGCTCAGGTTACCAGAATTTAAGGGCCTTACTAGTCCAAATAATTATGACGTCTTGAAAGGCTATTTTAATTTTTTTTCTGTAACTGAAATTTGGTACATTTGTTTATTTCCTAAGTAAACAATGCCACAGTTTTTATACTGTTTTTTTTGTGTGGCTTAAATCCTGTTATTGACAGTTCCTGAGAGAATCACACATATTGAAAGTTAATTTGAGACTTTAATTACCTTTGAAAACCAAAATAAAATCTCACATTCTGACCACAATCTTGTGCACTGGGAAAAAGAAACCAGGCTGTGGAATCATTTTCACAGTCAGTGAGTTTAAACCAGATTTATATTATAGTTCTGAATAACCAGTAGTTGACTGAGGTGTGGGTTTATAATTATCGCTTCGGTACTATTTTTAACCATTATCTTTTTTTTCACAACCTCCCACCCCTCTCTCTCTCTCTCTCTCTCTCTCTCTCTCTCTCTCTCTCTCTCTCTCTCTCTCTCACAAATTTCAGGTTGAAACAGTTGTTCCCTTAATCTCAATGTTGTTGAATAGGATATTTATTGTATTGCATATTTCTTTTTATGTACAAATTCGGACCAATATGACATTTACTGTAGCTGTAAAATGTCAACAGTTCAACTCATGTCAGAACTAGAAATATATGTTGAAAATTCATGTATATATAGTAAATTATAATATTGTCCATCTGTAAACTCGTTACTTAGAATACAAAATTAGTCAAATAAGCTACACAGCCTGCCAACACTGCATAGTGTACTGGAATGATTACATCGTCTGCTCTCAGGCCTCTGTAGTCTGACCTTGGTGCTCAGTATCTTCTTTATTCTTTCTGAAGAGTTCCGACAAGGGAGATAATTGCGTGCAAAAATGGTGATTTTCTTCCAATTTGAATCGGTTTTTTCATAGAAACAGACTTTGTACAGTTATTTTATTATTTATTTAGAAAGACACAACCATGCTTGATATATAAAAACTATTGCCACCAGCAGAAATGGCTGCATATTTTAATAAAATATTTCGAAAATTTAGCCACAATTGCATACTTTTCAGAGCATAAAGAATGATTAAAACTGAATAGAAAATTACCAAGACTGTTTCATAAGCATATTTTTTTAATAAGGTAGTTACATCATTAAGAATCACTTTATTGATAGTAAGATTAAAATATGAATCAAAAATGGGAAAACTAGCCATCTTTACGGTTTTAACTGTATTGTCACATTTAAATCAGTTTATTACTGAAATTGAGAGAAACACATAACTTTTACTGTTTTCAGTGATTTTTTCCCTCATTAACTTTCAATATCAACAGATTCCGTAAACAAAATATTTTACAACTTTCCATGCTTTTACAGTGAAATGCTCAATGGTTACTGTCATCCTCTCTTAAATATAATCACTAGAAAATTAAATAGGAAGTTTCATACGATTCCGAAGTTTTGATTGACGGAGGCATTCCAAAAGCTACATTTTATTTCCTGATACAATGCAACATGAATGACTGCACGTGCTTTGCATGACAACGTTAAAACAAGGCAAAAAAACCCGAAATTTAACTAGCAATTTCATGATTGTTGTAGCAGAAAAATGTAATGTTCCGCACTTCATACAACAAATTTGCGCACGTTTAACTCTTTTAGAACCATGTAAAATTACAAACGAAGCATTCAATTCTAAATCATGTAATTTACATTTACTATCACCCAGGTGACAACGACGGTGACGTTTGGACTGGTGCCAACGATTTAAGGAGTTCCGGGAACTTTATGTTTAAAGTAAACAACAAAATGTTTAACTTCAACGCTCTGCCATTTGGAGTAGGTTAGTATTATGACAAGGGACCTCAGAACTTGTTCAATATATACTTAGTACAAGAGTATGGTGAAATGATATGAAAATGAATTGTCATAGTTTACAAAGGTGCATACTAGTTAAATTAAAGTCATATCTTTTCTAACATTTTACAGACGCCATCATAATTCAGTTGACAGTTCTGGATTTACATTTATTTGTGTCACCGTTAACTATCCTCGCAGATATGTTCGACTTGTCTTGATCAAAATTTCATTTTCTTTTCCTCTTGCTTGACATCATCGGATATTTAATTGCGACACGTGACACTAGTATAGTGTGCAGGATCCTATAGATCCTTCCAACTCACCTTATTTTAGCCACGATTGTTGTTCGGATTCGCGTTGCTCAAATCTTGTTTATACCTCGTTTTTGTTCTTTATACCACTATTTCTGTCGTTAATAAGTGGCCTCGGTGGCTGAGTGGTCTAAGTAGTTGATCTACTGTACCACTAACCTGTCAACATTGAGATTGTGAGTTCGAATCCTGCATGTTGTAATCAAATCTTAATTAATTAGGATTGTCAGTTTTCTTAACGAAAGTCTTTGCTTCCGGCTACCTCCATCAAATCATTTGTTCATTACTTTTCGACTTATGGTTTATTATTGCACCAGTCCTCTTGTTTAAGTGAAGTAACTTAATGAAGGTTTGCAATCAGATTGCGTGTTTAACACGGAAATACTCGAGGGTCTGGATGGGGTGTAATTCATTTTAATATTCTTTAATTCCTTAGATAATTTTTCTGTATTCTTTATATTTTTTGCCCATTATTTTCTATTCTTTAATTTTTTGCCCTCGTTTTCTGTATTCTTTTTATTTTTTGGACTTTAATCTGCACTTTTTGCCCATTATTCCGTATTCTGTAACCCCATCCAGACCCTCATAGATACCTAAGTAGTAGATATTTGTTGTATATCAGCTGTTGAATATAATTTGAATAATTTTTCTTTCTACAAACATCTTAAAAGGTGTAATACCACCAAATCATAGTACGTCACAAATGGTTGCATACGAAAATAGGTCGAAAAAAAATATTCCCTTGAATTTGACAGTTGCAGGTAATTGATCCTACATTTCATTGCAGTAAAACATTTCTGGGTCATAAACATAAATCTTGGGTATTTCAAAGCACCATTATTTTTTTATTTGGGGTTTCTTTAAAATATTTTGGAAACTTGAGGTTACATGGTTACTAAAGCTTGTACACAGGTAAAAAAAGAGGAAAATTTGATTGGTTAACTTCCAGTGATGATTACTTTCATATATGCAATGAAATGTTATGTGAAATTTTTTCTATAGTACTGGACAGGATAAAACTTTACTCATGCCAAGTATTTCTTTATTTGAAACAAAGATAAATTCTGCACATTTTTTTGAAAAGTGCAAATTTAACAAAGACTAATAGTGGAAAATCAATGGTGGTATTACACCTAAAATATTTAAAATAATTTGTTTTTTTATTTCTCTTTTTAGAAAATGAATCGGACATGCGTGGTAGCTGTGTAGAAATAGATCTTAACAGTGACGGTGTTTGGGGTTGGGAAGCTGATGATTGTGCAGATCTGGAGTTCTATGTTTGCGAGTTACCAGTAGTAAGTAACAAGCATTGAAAGTTAATATCTATATTGTACACATAGTTTCAACTTAGATTTACCAAATTTAAATTCGTTGATTTAGAGCCTTTTTTCATTAATAACAAGTTTGTCAATGAATATATTTTGGAATCATACAATTATAAACAATCAACCATTTAATCACAGAGGTAGGGTCATTTTCAAAATGTCCTTCCATTTTAAGTTGACATTTTTAAATTTATAAATTTTATTCTTATCGTTCTGATTTCTTCGCATTTAAAATCAGCTTCCCATGATATTTTAAGACGCAGTGTAATATCTTTATACGCATTACAATTTGATTTCAGGTATGCAATGCTGGTCTCATTGGTTAGGATTCTGATTCTTGTTTAGTCAACTTGGATGGATTGTTTTTATGCGTTGACGAAGGTGTGAAATAAATAAACAAACGACTTTAATTGTATTCAGGCGATGACAAAAGTGTGAAATAAATAAACCAACGACTGATATTGTTTTCATTCTTCTTTAGTCGTTTGTGATGCTGTGGTAATAAATTCACACCGCCTTTAAAAGTACAATGGAAATTTGGTTATCTGGTAAAAGACCAACATACCTTGTAGATGAGTATATTATAGATATAAGAAGATGTGGTATGAGTGCCAATGAGACAACTCTCCATCCAAGTCAAGATTTATAAAAGTAAACCATTATAGGTCAAAGTACGGTCTTCAACACGGAGCCGTGGCTCAAACCGAACAGCCAGCTATAAAGGGCCCCCAAAAAAATTACTAGTGTAAAACCACTCAAACGGGAAAACCAACGGTCTAAACACTTATGAACCACATCAACAAACGATAGTGCGTTTAATTCTAAAAAAAACATAGCACCAACTTAACCCTTTTAATAACGTTCCTATCGGTCATTTTGACCGATAAGCCAAATTTTTGGAAAACTAGTTTGCACGAAGTCTTGTATGATCGTTGACATTCGTTGACGTACAGATGTGGTTGAGGGCTCAAATTAATATTCAAAATACCAGCTGCATGATGTACCTGACACTTGTATCATTCAATGTATTATGTCAGTTTGCTTTTTATTGACAAGATTATTGTGTGAGAAAACTATTTTTATCTTTTTTTACAGATAGATTATTTTCACAGATTATTATAAAAATAAAATGACTATTTTTGATAACTGTGCCGTGTTCTGTTACAAGAATACTATTAAAACTGTTATTAAAACCTGTACATATATGAAATATTTGATTCATAGAGTATCACCATTAAGACAAACTCAATGTAACATTTTTGAAACGAACTCAAAATTTCTCTTTGTCCATTTTTTTTTTTGGCAAAAGAGAAGAAAACATCTAACATATGTCCTGAAATTTGTTAGCGGAGTCGGAATAGCAGTAACAAAACTTTGTTTCTTTAATGCTTGATTATGAGGATGTTGGACACCGTATCGCTTAAATGAAGAAATAGTTACATACCTATGAAAAATACGAACATTTCTGAAATTCTTTCTCCTATATTTTCTTGAAAATAAAGGAATTTGCAAAAGCAGCTTCCTTAGAGAGAAAAAGTTGGATGATGCTTCCAAATTTTGTTTCTCTTCTTCCAGAGAAGTGGACTTAGATACTTAAATGTCATGTCTTTAACTATGGTTTCTGTGGCTCAGTGGCAAGATGAACAATCTAACGCCAGAAAGATCGCGTGTTCAAACATCACTGCCGGGGATGAACAAAGAATTTCCTTTATTAAACGTAACTTTACTTAACTTAAATGTTACTTAACTTAACTTACTTAACTTTCAATTTTAATTAAGACAACTGAAATACATGCTTAAGTCAAGTTAAGAAAACTAAATTCCTTACTGCTCCCAACCCTCTTTTGTTTTTTGTTACATTCTTACCCTAAGTACCCAACCATACCAGATTATCATTGCATATTCAGTGAATATTCTTTCGTATAGGACTCATTCAGCTACAGAAACTTGTGCGATTTATTTGACTTTGACAAAAATTCTTCGCATATCCGTTATTTTCGATGTTTCGCGCATCGATTTTAGTACATAAACTTTGTGCTCATAAGACATCACTCTAGTCTAACAAAAGAATATTGTTTTTTCTCAATAAAACACAACACATATACTTTATAAGCACAAAGTTTATATTTTCCGAAATTTTACCAAAATGTGAGACAGTTCGAGCTATAATTAAACATCTTAATGTAATAAAACTCTCGAAGAAAATTAAAATGGTTGTCCCGTTATATTCATGTGATTCCTCCATTGACGGAGAGAGATGGAGACGGTAGAGGTGTTGAACCATTGACCTCTACGGAGAGAGCTGGAGACGGTAGGACTTGAACCATTCGTGTGAACTGAATACACATCTCTGTGTCACGATTGGCTTAGAGAAAAAAAATCGGAAATGGACCCAAAGGGCGTACTCCTTTTTGATCTCCAAAAAAATTTAAAACCTTACGATTTATAAGATTTTTTAGAATAAAATTGTCACACTTTGTTTCTACTGTCTGGAAATACGACCCAACTTTCAAAAGATCCTGTATGAGGCAATGAAAATGGTATTTTTACAGCATCGTGTTAAATCTACTTTACAGTGCTGTGAGTGGATGGATGTAGGAGTATAATATATTCATGATTTATTTAAGAACAACTGCATGATTTTTATTTACAGTTTTAAAACACATTGACAAGTTCTGTTTGAGAGTTCTTCGAAAATGCTAATATGATAATTTTAAATGGTGATTGCTAAGTATATCATAAACAGGCTCTAATGGAAGACGGTCATTTGAATTTAATTTCTAAAACAGACTAATAAAGTGCTGTTTTCGCACATAATTTTCTTGTCCCGATATTTATTAAAAGAAAAAAAAAATAGAAAATGTGAGTAGAAATTGTAGATGTTTTCATTATGACGTAATTTCAGTTTAAATTACATTCGTTGGGCGCCATTGTTAAACCAAATTAAACTATGCCAAATGGTGCAATCATATCTGATTGGATACCCTTGCATGTGATCGTGGAGATAAGATATACAAGACTTAAAATTATGAATATTTTTCAGAGAATAATAATCTACCGGTCAGGTTAAGAAGTTGATTTTGTTTTTTGTCGTCAGGGGAAATAACTCTTGCTCAAATTACGTTAATCGAAAAACATAAAATTGTCGTCAATGGTGGTTAAATACTTCCCGCCGTGTTCCTTACATGTAACATGCATTGAAGGATGTAAGGTGAAATTAAAAAAATCTAGAATTTAGAATTGATACTATAAGTCAAAAGAGCATTAGTTAAGGAATAAAATAAGCTAAACATATTGATAGGTTATGGAGCTCCTTTTCGAGAGTTCTAACTTTTGAAAAATGGCGGGAAAAGACTGCACCGGACTTTTATTTGCATTGGTATTATTTGGGTCTCAAGTCTAAAGAAAAGAAATCTAGAATTTGCTTAAATTTTGGTAAATGACCTTTTATGAGCTATTGAAGTCTTTTGTGAAAAGAAAAATGGGTGATATGGGACAAAATATTTTGCCCTGTATCGTAGAAAAAAACACAAGGAGTCTCAACATCTGACAAAAATTCCTAAACATCACCTAAGTACATCCTTAACAATATTTGAGTATATTGAAGTCGAAAATCTTCCGGGGTTACCGTATTAGAGAAAACTTGTATAAAGATGTTCTACATACTTGTTACTAAGAAGCTATAAATACATGGTGTGTTTCCCCGTACATCAGCCTTCTAGTTGACTAATGTATTACTCTGTTTGAAGAGGGAAGCATTTGCAGACATATATATATATACATTTCGTAATACCTATTACTCTATGTTTTATATAAAAAGATTGTTCGATGCTCTGCATGAGGACTGCTAACTTAATAGCTTGCTTTGCGGTACGGGCTTTGTTCATTTTTTAAAGACCAGTAGCACCAGTGTAGTATTGTAAGCATTTTGTTCAATAATAATTTTACTATAATCGTTCAGCTTGTGGGGGAGGGGGTTGGTTTCCGCCCCCTAGATCCCTGTTTACAATGTATTTGCCAGTGGCTACGCCACTGAAGACCAATAGTTGCAAACTTCAATTGCATATAGTTTCTTGTTTATCATTGACAATCGTATCATATATTGCTGGTTTCCGAGGGTATCATCAGTTCAGTGGTTAATGCATCGGTACTTACATGAATAATAACATCCGGTTGGAGTGTCCTTGTTGGAAAATATCCCATGAGCGCTGACACACCAATTAATAATTGTGCTATTTGCATCATTAATGACTATTCTAGTTCTTTTGAAAATCAATATGTTGTCTTTTGAAAATCAGTGTGTCGTTTCTTGAAAGACAATACGGGTAGTAACGTCGTCATATCGATGAGAGTTTAGTACAGTGATTATGTCATAATTTTGTTAAGTTGGACATGAATGTGTTAAGAGTTTTAAATGACAAACAATGACACAATATAAACATTCGGATTTTTTGCTAAAGAACTTCTGAACATAAATTCAAGCTGGTAAAATTGAGAATGGAAATGGGGAATATGTCAAAGAGGCAACAACCCGACCAAAGAGCAGAAAACAGCCGAAGGCCACCAATTTGTCTTCAACGCAGCGAGCAAATCCCGCACCCGGAGGTGGTCCTCAGCTGGCCCCTAAATAAAATTGTGTACTAGTTCAGTGAACTAAACTCCGAACATATAAATGAACTATATTTAAAAAAAACATACAAGACTTTGTTTATGGCTAATATGTTAGTACACTAAAATGTATATTATATAGTTATAATTTTACACAGAATAATGCTTGCGTGTGTCAAAATTTACAAGTTGGTATTCGTTTCTTATGCATAAAGAAGAGTGATTTGTTTACTGTCTGTTACATCACATATTTCGTTATGCTATAAACCTGCCGTCAATTATTCCGAAAAAAAACTACATTTTCACACAATATAAGGTTACTGAAAACTCGGTGTCATGGTTTGGTTAAGTAGTGTCATTGTTTAGTTCATGTTCGACATGGTTCAATTATGTGATACAATGATGGAAGAATAACGATCAAAATGTTATACTATTGTTTCAGAAAAGAGAGAAGGTTTGGTACCATTAAAACGTTAAATCCCGCTGCAAATGTTTGCACCTGTCCTAAGTCAGGAATCTGATTACAGTAGTTGTCGTCTGTTTAATATGTAGTTTATACGTGTTTCTCGTTTCTCGTTTTTATATAGATTAGACCGTTGGTTTTTCCGTTTGAATGGTTTTACACTAGTAATTTTTTGGGGCCCTTTATTTATAGCTTAGTGTTCGGTTTGAGTCAATGCTCCGTGTTGAAGGCTGTAGCTTGGCCTATAATGATTTACTTTTATAAATTGTAACTTGGATGGAGAGCTGTCTCATTGGCACTCATACCACATCTTCTTATATATGTAGACATTATGTACAACTACTGAAATACTGTTAAACATATTTTCGCTGAAACTTTTTTTTCGCGTTTATC